ACACTCCACACCACACCCATACTTACCCCACCACATACACACACACCACACACCCTACACCTCCCACATACCCCACCACATCCATACCCTACCACACATACATGCACATACACACAAACCACACACACCACACCCATACCCCACCACACACACCACACCCATACCCCACCACACACCACCGCACCACACCCAGACACGCACATACACCACACGCACACACACCCCCACACACACCATACCCACACCCATACCCATCACGTACCCCCCACCCCCTCCCACACACACCCCTGCCCTTGTGAGGACACAGAAGAGAAATAAGCACATGATAATAGTGGTGAGTGAGGCAAGAAAATCATGGCACAGGGAGGGGCACGTGCGGTAATGGGGCTTCCTGGGGGGTTGCAATTTTAAGGATGGTGGCAAGGAAGGCTCCCCCAAGACCAGAGGAGGTGGGGGCTCTCTCCCTGCTTGTTTTCCTCGCCTGGACCTGCAGTTGTAGCGCTCACTCCCTAGGAAACGCCCCTCCCAGCCTTTTCTTGATTCACTATCTTCTCCAGGCAGCCCCGGCACTGTTCCGTGCTCTTGCTCTGAACTCTCCGCATTCTTGCTGACAGCACTCACGTCACCTCGAATATCACACCTGCTGGAAAATGATTGGTTCCCTGACGACTGACATTGGGTTAGGAAGGGAATCACCAATTTTTGAGTAAGTACTAGGCGCCTGGTGTCTGCTGGGCACTTCACCTCATTTAATCATCCTCATAATGAACCTCACTACAAAATGAGTTATGTGCAATTTATAGATAAGGAAACCAAGCAACCAAGAGGTGAAGTACTTGGCAGAAAGTCAGGTAACTAGAAAGCGGTGGTGGTGGGCAAAGCACTCCTGTGGCTGAGCCTCGTGGTCTGTGTCCTTCCCCTGCACCACATGGCCTGGGTGCCCAGCCTCCTGCCTGGCTCACAGGTGCCTTCCAGGTTTCTGCTGGAATGAAGAAAGAGAGCTGGGAGATGGTGAAGCTTGTCTGGGACGAGGCGCAGCTCGGGCAAGGAGAGAAGAGCAGCAGGCTGGGGGCAGCAACGGGAGGCAAATCTAGAAGCTCAGACAGGACCTGGCGCTGGGCTGACTGGTTTGAACTTGGTCATAGGGGACTGGGAAAAGTCAGTGTGCAAAATTCACTGGCGGGACTGTAGGGACAGAAACAGGGCAAACGACAGACCAGCAAAAACAAGTTAAGGACAAGGGGAAAGTTTTCCCTTGATGAGGAAGCGTGGGGAGCTGAGAAGCACTGAAGAAAAACCAGTGAAGGCGATCAGAAGGTTGGGGTGACCTGAGAGACCATTTTATTGGAATCATAAAAGCACTTAGGAGAAGGGGAGGGTGGCAAAAATCATATGGAACTTATCACAGATACTCTCGAGGTAGCCAAAAACGGGGGAGAGGAAACAGCCACTTATCACCTGATTCCAAATGTTTAAATCATTAAAAAAAAAAAAATCCCTTCTGATGATCTCTCTTTAGAAAGCCATCCTTGCTACTTTTTTCCAGCTTATTTTCAAAGGAAGAAGGGGCCAAAAAAATGGGTACCCCCCCCAATAAGCAGACATTTGCTAGCTTTTGCACACCTGTCCAACCCTTGTGAAATCTCAAAGTCACCTTGTGTCTCAGGTTTCAAAGCAGCTCTGGAAGACGGGGTGGATCAAATCATCCCCTCTGTGCCAGCCAGTTCCCTGCCTTCCCCTGCGGCAATTCTCCCTCCCTCTCCCACTCTCTTCCCCCTCAGTCATCTACTTTGCACCTGCTGGTCAGGAAAAAAGAAAAAAAATAACACTCAAGTTCACATCTTTCTCCGTATTTATTAACCGTCACTTTCAGTTTTGGATGTAGGTTCCAGCATGAAGGAGTTGCATGTTGTAGCCCTTGTAGTTACTATCATCTGTTCACCTCACATTCACCTCCTCAGTCTTAACTTCTCCTATTCTGCCTCCCACACAGAGTGAAGCAATCACATGCTGACGACCCGGTTCCAGGCTTTGGCCAGTAGAAGTGTCACAAAAATGAATCTCCTGCCTTGACTTTAAAAGGTGCTCCCTTTTCATTTTAAAAACCTACCCAATTTCATACATTTTTGTGGGAAAAGACCCAGGAAATACAAAGAAGCAAAAATGAGAGGTAAAAAATCATCTAGAATACCACCACCCAGATATTATTGGAGTACATTCTTCCAAAGCTTATCTCTGTGTTCACGGGCAATGCTATGTATACTGTTCAATTATTGCTTTTTCTCCCACTTAGTACTTGCAAAATGCCTTTACATGTCAGTAAACAAATAGGCACTTCATGATTTTCCAGTAGTTACTTCAAATTCATTTGT